AGCTGCAAAGGGCTCGCAGGTCTCTCACAAGCGTGCGGGGTGTTATTTATAGCCCGCTGCAGCCAGAGCATCTACCAGGAGACGTCCAGGTCTGAGATGTGCCCTCAAATCCGTGGGGAGGGAGGGGGACCCAAAGCCATCTCCTCCCCCAGGCTCAGGAGATGCCCATTTCTCTCCCCTCCCACAGGAGCCTGTGGGGAGCAGTTCCCATACAGAGATCCACGGTTACTTAATGACTGTACACTTATCTAATTAAAATTAGTGATTATTAGCCCACAATAATGCTTCAATACAGGCAGGTCATAGAACTGCTCGTCATGATTTGTGGTCAGGAGGCAGCGGCTGACACAGAGGCTCAAGTTCCAGCATCCGTCTGTCACCCGGAGCCAAGGACGAGCTTGGGAAGACACACACAGGCACAGGGGTTTCACGAGAAAAGAGGGAAAGTAACAAAAAAAAAATAAGGGATCCAGCAAGCGAGGCGGCCTTTAGGTCCTACAGCAGCGAGGCGAGGGACTACACATGTGGCGATAGATTTTTTTTTAAAAAAAAAGTTGGGAGTTGAGCAAATTCTCTCCTGTGCCAGAGCTGGGAGAAAGGTACGAATTGCAACACGCTCCCAGACCATCCCTGCCTCCACCCGTGCTGTGTCACCTCGTGAAAACGCCAGCGGGAGGGTGGGGTGATCCCCCCCACGCAGCAGTGCCTGATGCCATAACGCACCGGAAAAGGTGAAGCACGCCCAGCCCGCGGGGCATCCCCCCTGCTTGTATTTACACGCTCCGAGGGCCATTCCTGCAGGTTTTTGCTCTTCCTCTTGGCTTGCGTACGTTGGGAATGGGGTGGGAGGACAAAGGGATGCCGCAAGCTCTGGGCAGGCTTAATCCCCTCGTTGGCACACAGTTCGACACGCGTGGAAGCTGCCCTCCTGGGTCAGTTTGCTGCCCGGCTCCTGGCAGACACTGGTGACGCAGCCAGACTGGTGTGGTGGCACATCCACACTATGGGTACCTGCC